CTTTTCTTTTAAAAAGAATATTTATTTTCCCCATCTTCTTTCCTAACTATAATTACACAATTTAAACATTGGCCAATTGCTATTGGCTATTAGCACCCAAACATTGTTAAATAATAATGGTAGTAGTAAAAATCCTTTTCAAGTTCCTGACTCTGATGAGAATGAAGCCATTAGCTTTCACATTTACAGTGGTTATTTAACCATATCCACGCGAGGCCTTTAGGTAGTTTCCAGGTGTTCACCATTGTAAGTGCACTGTGATGACCGTTGTTACATAAATCCATCCAGTAGTTAACATTTCCTTTGGCTCAATTTCCAAGCTGTGGAACTATTGGGTCCAAGAGTCTTGATTGAGATTGCTTCCTTGTATCCAGGTGTGTTGCCACTGAGGGTGTAATTTTACAACCAGTCCTGTTTTATTAATGTTCTAAGGAATATTACTGTGCATGAAAAAAGTAAAGATGTCCCTGCTCATTTACCCATCTCCCTGGTTTAATTGGAAGCAGAGAGAGAAGGTGAGTGAAGAGCTACAGAGGGAAGATTTTGTGATTTCAGCTTTGATCAGAACAACCTCATGGCACCAAGCTAACTGCCCCTTGTGGTTTCAGAATTTGGGTTGGCGGGTTCCCCTGAGTGTGGAGGTGCACCTCAGCTTAGCTGTCCATCAGGGAAAGGAGCTGCAGCTGCCTGACTCTGGCTGGTGGTCTAGAGGCGTAAAAGCTGACTGGGCGCTAGTGTAGCGAATCCTCTTCCATCCAGACACTCACAACTCCGGAAACCAGTCAGCCATCGTCGCCAAAATATTGCTCTAGCATGCAGGAGCATGCCATTCGTACGGAACACTTCACCGCACATCTTGGGCCTTTCCTGTACTCCTTTTCCTGTGGCCGGGAGTCTCAACGACTGGGTAGATTTCCACCTTGTCACTGCCATCTCCCTGAAGCTTGTCTCTTTCCCCCACCTGTTTGAATGTGTGTGGGCTGAGAGTCTCCTCGTGTTGAAGATTCTGAAGCGTTTGCCAGAGTTCTGTGATGATTCTTTGTCTCCCTGTAGTTCCAGATACTTCATCAAGATGACTCAAATAAAAGAGAAAGGCTCAAGGCAAAGGGAGTGGACTTTGAAGAGGACCTCCGAGATGAAGTAGAAGATGCTGTCCAGAAAGTCTGGAATGCAACCGGATGCTCGGTCAGTATTTCTGTCATGCTCTGGAAATGTTTCCTAAATCAGTGCTGCTGTGCCGTGTTCACCTATTTGCTTGTGGCTCCACCGGCATGCCCAGCGCCTGGGGGAGCAAACTAGGTCCAGGAGATTTGTAGTTTGATTCAGTTTGTGTGGTGACATTTGATGAGAGCTGTTTATTCCTTTCTCTCTCGTTTGCGTCACTTTACCCAATACTCCTCAGAATTTTAAGGAAGGTTTGCAGTTTTAATTTTTTCCTGAGTAGCGTTTGCATTTTACAAAGAGAATTCATTTTATAATGTGTATTAATGGTTAGTCAGGGGACCCACTTTATTAACACGTAAGCTATTTTCTAAATGAAAAAGATCTGCAAGCCTTTCCGCAACTCTTCCTATTTCTTTTCTAGTTGAAGTATTTCTTTGTTTCTTGATAGGATTTTAATTTGATAGTCCAGAACCTGGAAGCTGAAAATTATAATATTGAATCTGCAATAATTGCCATCCTTCAGATGAACCAAGGGAAAAGAAGTAGTAAGTCCATGATTGATTTATACGCTTTTCAAAATCTTGTGTTAGTGATTTTCCAAATACTAATTTTTAATCAAATGACAAGTAGTAATTAATCTATCATTTATTTATTCATTAATCTGTGTATTGAACTAGTAGATCTTACCTCTAGGAGCACAGCGGGAGGGGATCGTAGAGGTGGATAAGTACATATATGTAAATAGCGTGCAGTACAGTGTTGGGGAACTCCAAGGTGGGAGGGATGGGATAGGGAGTGTCAGGGAAGTCTTATTTATAAGATCCTCTTTTAAAAGCAACGCGAGAACCGAAAAACAGTGGAATAAACGGACTTATTTTTTCTGATGAACCTGGGAGTTTAAGTTATTAGCATCTGTTACAAGGTGACATCTTAGGTGTTGCTGAGTACTTGAATTGGGACTAATTTTATGGTGCAGAGGAAAGATAAAGGATGCGACACCTAATTCCACATGTCCCTTAACGATCTCAAAAAATACGTATTGCCACGTGTTAGGTGTCAGGCGCCGCTCTGAGTGATAGTTTTCCATGCAATTGTTGTGACTTTTCTTTCCTGGTGCCCTTCAGAAAGCTATACGTCACCAGGGCTTTGGAATCTATCGCAGCACTGCCCAGCATGGGTGCTGCCCCATCAGGTAGTACTTAAACTGTGGCTAGTGCAAGTGCAAGTTAAATAGCCACGGGTGTGTTGTGCTGGACAACATAGACTCTGGAAGCTGGCCATGGATAATATTGTAATTATAAAATTATAACATATTTAAAATGTTCAAGCCCATTTCTTTTCAGGTTTTTGGGTGCAAGTGAAAGATCTCTCTTTAGATTTTCATGTTTTTCTAGGAGAACAAAGCACATCCGTGTTGTTGGAGAGATGCCGATGATAAGACTGGCCAGTAGGTTATTTTTTACTTTCTCTTCCAAAGGTGACCAGTTCTCTTTTTCTCTGTGCTCTCCACTGTATGGACTTGATAGTGGAATGTCGTCTAAGGAAACTTGCTCTCCAAAGCCTAGTCATCCAGGGACCCGGGTAATTTTGCGGTTTTTTTTTAAAGGACAGCAGTCATGCCATGGCATGATTTTAATGCACTGTCTTTCTCTGGAAGATGCCGACGAGAACCTTGAGCCCAGTGGTCGAGTGCAGAAGCAGCGTGGCCCTTTATGGGAGGAGGGTGGCAGCGGCACCAGAATCTTTGGAAATCAGGGCTTAAATGAAGGCAGGACTGAGAACAATAAGGCGCGGGCCAGCCCTAGTGAAGGGCACAAAGCAAATAAAAACCAGCTACCAAAGGTATGAAAAGCCAGAGGGGCAAAGGGCGGGCTGCTGAATTCTGTGGCTGTTGATGGGCACGTGGAATTTGTGTTATTTATGTTTTATTTTGATTTAAAAGAATGGCTATTGTAGAAAATCTGGAGTGCCAGGGGCTTAAGTGGAGAGCATGTTTTGAGGATGATGCGGGTAACGAATGTACAAATGTGCTTTATACAATTGATGTATGTATGGATTGTGATAGGAGTTGCATGAGCCCCCAATAAAATGATTTAAAAAAAAAGAAGCAAAAAGAAGTGTTGCCCCGTGTGCCTGTTGTCCGTTTTGGTGCAGGCAGTAAAGATTGGAAGGAGGCATATGTACATTGAATTCATCTGCTGGGTACAGTTTCAGTGCTGTTTTTCCCCAACCTAACATCATTGTATGGGTACTCTTGTGTTAATCTGTATTAATTTTATTAATGCCATCGTCTGCTGTGAACAGCTCTGTGTCTAAATCTGGTCATTTGCATTAATTTCTTGGGTAGAGAATCAGAAGAGGAATTCACAGGTTAAAGGGCATGGATGTAGCCATCTTTTTAAGGCTTTGGTAATTTATTGTCAAGTGCTCCCCAGGAGGTTGTGCATCTCCCCAGTCCCAATGCCCACCTGTAGTATGTGTCACCTTTATTGAATTGCGTTTAGAATTCATTTGAAGACTCTCATCAAACAGTTCTGAGTTCAAAATTAGCCTAGTTTAAAAAAAAAAGCCATCGGCAGAGGCAAAGATGAAGTAAGCTTCTGAGATTTTGCTAGACTTACCTGGCCTTAAACTCTGTAGAGAAAGGGGTCCCTAAGGCTTGTTGAATAGTATCCCTTGCAGGTCTAGGGGTTAATGCCCTGCTGAGAAATCTTGAGTTGATTCATGAGGAGAATGGAATTGACTTTGCTTGTTAGCTCAGCCAGGGATATGGATTTAAATGCACGTTTTGAGCAGTCATGGAAAATACATTGTGTTTGGTTTCTCAGACAGTTTTTCCCCTCTGTTCCTGCGGGGAGGCTGTTTGTGTCCTTGGCATCCCTCCGGGCGGTGGGCAGCAGCCTGGTCATCGGTGCTGGCAGCCTGCCTCACTGCAGCCGTCTTCTCTTCCAGGGCGCAGGCTCAGGCAAGCAGCAGCGGCTGGAGAAGAAGAAGCGGCAGGAGGAGCGGCACCGGCAGAAGGCCCTGGAGAGCAGGAGCAGCCGCAGGGACAACAACAGAAGCGAAGCCGATGTGAACACACAGGTCACCTTGGTGAAGACCTTCGCTGCTCTCAACATCTGACTGCTCTCCTGGGAATTGTGATCAGCGGGTGGAAACTGGAATGCTGTGTACCAACTGCCCAGGGAGGCCGTTCTTTTAAAAACGAGACGCAACCTACAGAGTCCACGCATTAGCTCAGACACTAATTGGTTTCCTTCAAGCTGCCTCGTTTTCTTCTTTTTTACGTTTCCCTAGTGATGTGTTTTGCTTTATGAAAGTGTGGTGAAGTCACTCACCTCCCATAATATGACCTTAAAATACTAAGTTTTAGGGATGGGCAGTTAGGGCAGGAGAACCTTTTCATGTAGCTTTGCTTGCTCCGCACATCAGAGCTTAGTGGTCCTGGGTGAGTTTTGCTGTAATTGTTTGTGGAGTCGTTTGGACTCAAGGCCAGCAATTCAGACCTCCTTTCCTTGGTTGCCCTTTCGGTTTCTAACAGATAAATAGACTGGTAGTTTGTAAACAATGTGCAACTCAGGAACACGTTTAGATGACATTTTCTGCTACTCTAACTTATTAAAACCACTAAAACGTTTCCCCAAAGTAATGGCAATTACAGCGGCTGCAGCCTAAATTCCCGGTGGAAATGGAACCGCTGCATCGTTCCTATTCTTGAGTCTGAAACTAGTGTGATTTCAGCCTGAGGGCAGGCGCTTTAAAGCACCTCTGGGCATTATTTGGCAGTTGAGCTGTGTGGTAAGTGAGGCCTAGACTGTGCGGTGAACCAGTGGTAGGGTTCAGTTTTTGGTCCCCACTTCTTGACAAAGGAGAGGCTGGCTGTTAACAGTCTGTGTTGCGGTTCTGGGATCCTGGTTGTGTGGCGAGCAGAGTCCGTCCCTGTAAGGTCAGAAACCAAGGGATTCCTGGGGTTCTGTCCAGGAAGGAGCTAAAGCGTTGTTTGCATTTATAGGGAAAGACTTACCTAGAAGGAGTCGTTTCTGTGTTCATATTTTAAGTAGTTGCATTTTGCTATTCAGATTTAGATGCCTTCAGGGAAATAAAGATAACTTGACCTTATAGGTCCCTCAAATTTCCTAGTATTATGGAAATTCTATCACATAAAATGCTGCATTTATTTCTTGGATATTGGAACCCCCCCCAGAACCCCCCAGAAATTGTCAGAGAGCAGACTCTGGCTAGGACTTTCGAATGACTTACTTCATGGCTCAGGAATAGGCAGATTTGGTTCGGTGGGGAAATGCCATTCCTAAAACTGGAGTTAGACACACATGGACTTTAAAACTAGTTGAAACAGACGAAGTGGCCAGTCTCCGGCAAGCTTTGCCTTTTGCAGACCTGATGTTTGGGCAGATAATACGCATGTATGTTGAATCACAAGTTAAAAGAGTAGCTCTTTCCCTCACCCCTCAACTTTAAAAGTGAGACAGGAGAAGGAAAACAGTGATGTTTTGATGTGTATAGACAGATCATTGTTTGGGTTGCCCCAAGATTTCACTGGATGGCTTATACCGGTGGGCTATTTGTTCGCTTAGGCTTTAATGATGTTGTTCAATCTTTGTTTGGGTCTTGGTGACTCTCGGATTGGAACATCAAGAGTCTCTTGGAATGGCTCTTAGGACACTGGCTTCCCGGGCACAGGGCTTGGTAATATTTAGCAGGATTGTCTTCTAAACAGTCCATCTTGTCTGCTTCACAGTATAGAAGTACAGGAGCCCAGGCGTTCAGACCCTGCCAGATGACTGAACTGGTGTACCAGGAATTCCTCAGAATTCCATGTCAGAAGGAGAGCAGGGGAGCCCACTGATAGAAGAAGTTGAATTAGAGAAGACTGGGCAAGTTTATTTATAAGTTACCTAGTTCTGGCAATAGGCTTCAGCATTTCTGGGGTAACTTAATAGTGGTTTTTAAAACATATCTCATGGATTCTTTTATTTTGTTTTATGACCATCTCAGAACTTCCCAGTTATAATTGGTCTCTTTGGTTGGTGTGCTGATCATTAGAATAGAATGGGGTGCAGATACCCACCTTCAGTGATAGCTCCTCGCTAAGGATTTTAAGTTAGAATTCACTGCCTCTGTCTCACGGAACGGACGGACCCCCTCTACCTAATTGCCTTAGTGGGCACTTGACAGTTATCAGCAGTCAAAATGGAGGCCCAGCGTCCTCTGTCCTGGGATGACTCTTGTCAGTAACTTACCTGTGTATAGTCACTCCAGTGAGATACTAGGCTCTATTAGGAACCCAATCTGTCTTAAGTTCTGGGCTGCACAGAGACTTAAGTTTCATGGAATTATCTTGGGAGCTTCTAGTGAGAGCAAGAGAAAGAGGCTGGAGCAGTGATCCCTAGCTGCTTACTGGTCCTAAGAGCTGTATTTAAAGGTTTTATGGATTTTAAACTATTTTTTAAAGGTCAAAAATAAGTAAAATTTCAGTGGCAGCAACTTTGAACTAGAGAGGTAGATGTATTAAAATTACTTAGATCCACCACTTCTAAATAATATAGTTGCCCTCAGATGATTATTAGAATGTCTAGGAATATTTAATTTTTCAATATTGTGAAGATGTTCTTTTGGGAGTGATGCCAGGTTGAATAATTGTGGCAGAAAGAAGAATCTTAAACTGTTACTTGTGGTTGTCTATAATTTCTTCTATAAGCTCCGAAAATACTTCAAACCCATTTGCTTGTGAAGGGCTTGTGAAGTGGGAGGCAGCTGGAGCTGGGCTTCAAGGGAGCCTTCCTGTAGGTAGGCCTGGTTGCCCTGCCCTGCTCCTTCCTCGGGAACCTTTCCAATGTGAATTGGGACAGTGGGTGGGGTGGGTGGGGCGGGGAGCATTGTTCACCTGTTATGTAGGTGGATAGCAAATGGACTTGGCTTGAGCGGTGCTCATAGGGAGTCCCTGTAGTCAGTGTGCACTTTCTCTCCTTCTGAGAAACCCTCTAGACTGCCTGGGTTTTACTAGGTCAGCATAGAAGGCTATCTCGGGTTACCTCTGTGGAATGTTCAACTTAGTTAGTTGGTTGGTTAAAGGAAGCTTGGATTCGTAGTGAAGAGTTGACTAAAAGTCACTTGACCAAAAAGGGTCTTTGTAGACCAGAAGAGCGTGGCGCGCGTCTTGTAGCATTTTATATTTGTGGCTTCCTTTTGGGTAGAAGCATAGCTCTTCACCCTTTTACCTCAAGGCTCTGTCTCTTTGTAGCAGGCCTTTAGATGCAGAGCCTGCGGCAGTTTGCTCATTTTGCCATTGTTGTTGCTTGTGATTTCCTTCCTCTCCGCATTGACCACGGGCTCAGGCAGCCAGGGTCTCCCGACCGCTCTGAGGGTCCCCGAGACAGCTTTCACAGGGTGCGCTTTCCTGACTCCAGCCAAGTTGTATTTTTCCATTGACCTCATTGAACTTAAGAACTTTCCCCATTTAAGCGTTTTTTACTTAAGCTCTAACGAAGTGGGATATTTAATTATAGCATACCTCTGCCATTGCAGATTAGAAAAGGGGCGGGGGTGGGGGGAATCAATACTTGTCTTGAACGTGGAGATAAAACTCAACACCAGTCACAAAGTACACATGCAATGGTGAAACTCCCAGGACGCACCCTGGAGGCTGAGGCCACCAGTTAGGGCCGGGCCCCGTTACATTCTGTTACAGAACCTCAGGCTCGGAACTCTTTCTTTCTAGGGTTCCGTTCTAGAGCATCTCTAGTCCCCTGTCCTGGCTAGGACTCCTTACACGTAGCACCCTTGCAATGCTGTTTTAGAAGGCGCTGGTCGGGGTGAAGAATGCGCGCCTGTGAACGCATGCCCGTCTGCACAGTGGGTTGATTGTGAGCTGTGAGACAGAACTTCGGCTCACTGTGCTGGGAGCCATGGAAAGTGATTAGCGCTGGCCCTAACCCTTTGCCCGTCAACCTTCGGCAGGTGGCTCTGCCAACCAGCCCTGACAATCATTTGAACTCCATCACAGACACAGTCAGCCTGTGGTGTGATCCCCTGGTAGGCAGCTTGAACCAAACTTGAGGAATGCTGGTGTGGGAGTCCTCACACCACCCCCACTCTTTGTCATTTTCTAGAAAGGGCCCTGTGCCTCCGTGGCTCTTGCCCCTGCACTCTCCCCCAGCAGGAGCCCGTTGATGGTGGGCCTGGGGCTGAGGGGCTCCTCTCTCTGGTGCAGAAGTGCTGGTGAGCTGCTGTCTCCTTTCCAGAGGAGGGCGCTGCTCAATAATGAAGGGGCCTTCTCTTTTTTCTCTACTTGCACTATACTTGTGGTAGCTTCAGTTTGGAGGTACTTAAGACCTCCATGGGGTCATGATGCATAGACTTAACCAGTCTTAGCCTTATCTGTGGAGCTTCATGGTGAGAAGTGTGACCATTGGCCGATGTCCATAGTTGATTTTCCCTCCGTGTCTTCCCCCTCCCCCCCTTTCTGTCTTTCCTTCCTGCCACAGACTGTGTTAGTCTGAACCATTTTATTTTTTTATTTACCAAAAGTACTGTACTTGGCTATTTGCAGTGTTTTGAAAACCAAATATTTCTTTTTTTCTTTTTGGTCTTTTAATCTTCAATACTTGGTGCAATAGAAGCTGCAAAGATGTGCCACTTTATCAACGAGATGGAGTTTTGTATACCAATAAATTCTGGTTTCAAAATGGAGCCTCAGGTTGTTCTTACCATGATGTCCCCAGCGTGTGACTGGGACTGGGAGAGCATGTTGGGAAATGACCCTTTTAGAGAACTGTGAGTGGGAGGTGTGTATGTGTCAGATTGAGTGTTGTCCAGCATGTCTCAACTCTGAATTTAAAACATCTGACTGCAGCCTTAGTACAGCCACCACACACATGAACTGGACAGTTCCCATTTCTGTCTTTCGCCCATTGGGAGTTGGTCAGTGGTCCTGTAGAGCCGCCCAACTTGGGTGCCTCTAGAGCTCTGAGAGTCAAGTTTGATGGAATTTACCGTGGCGGCACCCTCTGCCTGACTCCAGGGGCAGCAGTGTGCCTGAAGCATGGCCTTTCCTAGAGGAGAGATGCATCCGAACTGGGGGGCGGGGGAATCCTTCTGCATTCCAGCACAGGCTGGTCCTGGGCCAGGGCACATGACTCTGGGGCTGGCTCGCCAGGCCTCGCCACATTGTCCTGACTTGACCTCAAGACTCGTACTCCTTCCCCATCAGCTGGTCATCTCCCCAGAACCTCACTTCCAAGAGGGGCTAGAGTAGAGTAGTGCCATGGATTAGAATACAGGAGTGCCCAAAAGAGTGACTAGAACTATTCTAGTGTCTGCGTTCCAGTTTTGCATGAACTTTTTGAACCCCCCTGTATTCCTGCTTTTGCTGAGGGGCTTCTCCCACTCTTAATTCGTAGCCTGCGTCCACAGCTGAGAGACTGATCATCTGCCATGGGGCGCGGGGGTGAGGGTGGAGTGGTGGTAACTAACTGGCTGCTCATGTTTGACTCACTATTAATCCAACTGTTCTTGCAGAAAGACCCTGCTCGGACCAAAGTGATGTTCCAATATGGGAAATTCTTCTCCCTCTTCAAAAACCTTATTGCATTATTGCTGGGATTCAGCAGGGGTTCGTTTTAGAAGAGCTTCCTGGCTCAGCAGATGCTGGAGAAGGTGATCTGTACGGTCATGTGTGACATTAGATGAGTCTGTAAGCACAGAAATGTTCTTGGGCAAGGTAGGGAATAAATTAAAAAAACAAACAAAGTTTATTATTTATTTTTTCCTCTAGGCTAGAGCAATGCTAGTTCTTGGTGAGTGACAGTTTATGATGCCAAAGATGGAAATCCAGACGGGCAGAAGCTGCTGAGCTCATGGCCCTCCTTGGAAACGTACTCATGGTTGCCTAGGAGAAATTATGGTTGAAGACCTGGGGTTTTAGTTGCTCATCCAACAGACACCATGTCACTACCCAGCCTTCCTCTCGCTGGACCGTCTCTCTCCCCACAAGGCATATAAGCAGTATGTGTGCTTTGAGAGACAATTAAATTGTACCATAAATTCTCTCTGGATAAGGTTTTGACCGGATTGCTGGGCAAAATGGTTCCTCTTTGTTCGTAAGGATGTGGAGATTTAGAACTTGGTTCAACAGGATTGAGATCAACCTTCCATTTTGTAAGGGGGAAACTTACTTTCTTCTTGGGGAAATGCGTCGGAAGCTCTCTGGTAGAGGGACTTCAGTAGCTCAAGATACTCCTTGCATTCAGTTTCTTTCTCCGATCACTCACAAATCCAACGAGCATCTACTGACACTGTTGTGTGTGCATGGGCATTGAATCACATGGGCTTGGTCCTCAGAAAGCTTCCAGGCCAAGGCAGAAGTGATCTCAGGAGAAAGCATGCTGCTGAGGTTCTGGTGAGGGTTGTGAGTTCCGAGGGGAAATCGAGGCAAGTGTGTTAGGGACAGTAACATTTAGGAAGGGGAGAGAGGATGTGGAGAAGAAGAAACGGAGCAATGGCATTTTGAAGGCAAGCACAAGCCAGAGCCTGGAGGTGGCATGTCTTGGGTGTGAAGCAGAGACTTTATTGTTGGTTACTGTGCAGTTGGTTACTCCTGGCAGCCCTGTATACACAGAGCAGAACTCCAGGTCCACCTTCCACAGCTCATCTAGGTGGGTTTGAACTGCCCACCTTTTGCTTAGCAACCTTGTGCTTGAACATTTGCACCACCCAAGGCCTCTTGGAGAGTTGTTTAAGGATACACACTTGGTCTGGAAAAAGGTGGAATTTCAATTGACCTCCCGTGTCTTGGCAGCTGGGAGAGTAATGCTGCACTTGCTAAGTTGGGTTCCGAAGACCAGACGTCCTACATATAGTGCACCCTGACCTCTCTTTATAGTGTTAAGTCGGGCTGTGTGTGCACACTGATCTTGGAACACGTGACCGGTACCAGCCCTCCAGGAAGAGGTCTCCACATGGAGCCCCCCAGTCAATTGTACTGTGGGAGATCAGCTCAGGGCCACTGAGGGTTAATGCTTCTCCAACACATGCCCTTCTCACATAAATGAGCATTCTGATGGTAGTGAGCCAAGAGGCTCTTCAAATACAATAGTATTTATCCTACACCACTTTCCTAAAATAACTCCATTGTCATGGCCCCGGGGATAACGTTGAACAACTATTAGTACCTATTAGGCGAGGGATGCTGTAGAGGAGGCACAGATACACAAAGTGACCTATCCCAGCTAGAGGAGCCTTGGTGACAAGAGTGGGTCAAGGTGGGGGCTAGAGCATCTAATGCCCCAGGTACTTTGAACAACACTGAGTCTCATTGAAGCCTGCAAACCAGCCTGAGGCTGAGGGTTCTCCCCCATTTTACCCATTGTCATCAAGTTCACTCCAGTGTGCAATGACCTGCATTTTTCAGGGAGTAAATAACTGACCCAAGGTCACAGTGTGGTAGCCGAGGCAGGGTTTGAGCTCCGGGCAATCTACTCTCCCCATAGATGAAGGAGCTTCGCAAAAGGTCATGGGAAGATGCCGTGATCTTTTAATCCCGTTGTCACCATCCACCTACGTAGCGCCCTGGTACAAGAACCCAGAGCTCTGTAGTGGAAGTGGTGCAGGGAAAGGTTGGCACACTACTTGGCAGTTCAAAGGAGGGCAGGATTTGCTCCTGCCGGAAGAACATCAAGGGTAAAGGGGCATTTGAGGGGTGCCGTAAAGTATGTGGATTCTAAGATGGCAATGAGTGTGAACAAGGGGAGCCAATTGTGGAGCTGGTTATAAACACCTCTGAAGGAAAAGAACTGTATTAAAGAAACCAGTTCTCCAGCTGTGATACAACACAGAACCTCAGAGGAACAGGGGATGGCCCAGAATTCAAAACCAGACTTCAGCCAACCCTGGGATTCCCATGTGATTTCTAATCGCTTATTCAGAAAGTGGTGATGGGACATTTCATGCACTGCTTGTGTTATGTGCTAAGTAGGAGCAAAAGCAAAAAATGATCCAAAATCTTGCCATCAAAATTGGAGAGTCAAGCTATGAAATATTTAGGTAACCAAGCTCCCTCCCCAACATGATACAGTCTGGCCTCATTCCTTGTTTCACTCATTTCATGAGTTAATGATATGTAAAGCATAGAGGACAGTGCCAAGTGCTTAATCAATGTTCGGCCCACTGCCGTCACCGCGTCTCATGGTGAGCTCGTAGAACTGTTCCATAGTTTCCCAGACTGACTCTTGACCGGATCAGACGGCCTCATCTTTTTCCCTTGAATGGCTAGTGGGTTTGAAATGCCTTGTTAGTAACAGCCCAAACGCTTAGTCCACTGCACCACCAGGGTCCCTTTAGTAAAGCTAGCTGTTGTTATTAGTCCCTGGTGATGCAAGTTGTTGAGCACTTGGCTACTAACGTATAAGTTGATGGTTCAAGTCTACTCAGGGACCTTGGAAGAATCTACT